TCTGGCTTTCTCTGCTCATTTTTTAACTGCAGCAGTATGAAATCCACATGGAATGTAGCGACTTTTATGCCATTTTTGTGTCCTCCCACAAGGAGATATTGTTGCCAGGAAAGTCCTGTCACCCACTCCTGTGACCTGCACCCTTAGAGGCTGGTGGATTTACAGTTCCAGAGAGACACAGTTGTCAAAGGAAGCCCATTGACTAAGGGAGGGAGGGAGGTACCAGAGTCAGTAAAAAGAGAGGGTTTCCAACATCCTAGTCTCAAACTTAGGAGGGAAAAAAGGAAATAAAAAGAACAAAAAAAATACAAAACACCACAAAAATCAATAGTTTATACCAGTAATAGAAAACTTATAAACTCTGATTTACACTAGTATCTGTCACCTCGAGTTCTGCAGGCATGAACTAACACATAAGCAGAATCAGTACCAGAGAAGGTTGGGAGTCAATGTCACATCAGAGCACGAAACAGCCTACCCTTTCTAAAAACAAGAGATTAAACAATACTAGTCACTAGTATAATCACCTGTTCTGCTCCCACAAATACCATCTCTATCTGCTCCAGCAAAGAAAGGATTCTGCTTCAGCCAGCCAGCTGGAAGTGACACTATCAGTGTCAGGGCAAAGCAGATTTATGCCTCCTGCATGTTTCTAATATTCAACACCATGATAACTCAGATTCTCACAATAGCTTTCTGTAGATGTTACAGGACATTTTTCTCCTGCCACACAGTCTCTTACCCCACTCAGATACCAGTGTATTCTGTTGCATTGCAATTATTTCACCACTGCCTACCAGGAAGTCCCACTTCCACATCTTACACAGTTCTTCCTAATGTGTAATCAGAGCCACCGCACACCCCCCTTGTGCCCTACACTCATCTCTTCATTCCCCCTTTCCCACTCAGGGACACCTGATCCAGTGATGGTGATGTCAGAAGCTTTTCTACAAGGGATCTGTTCTTGGTTTGATGAAAAGGATGTACAGCATAGATTATTTTAAGCCACTTGGATATCTAAATTCTGTCTCCCAGAATGAAGGTTCCTTAGATGCAGAGGATACACATATACCTCAATGTAGAATGAGAAAGCTAAGCTCATTTTAAGAATTTTTTTTTTTTTTGGAGGGGGGGCACATATAAGAATATAGTATAATATAAGAGATCACTGTCCCCTTCCTTTAGTAAATATCCTTACAGTACACTCCCCATTTCTTGCCAGTGAATTGTAGTTTCTTCCATACCACCAAAGTCTTGCCTCCTCTGTTTAATGTCAAAAGACATTAACTATGGACATTCGGAATATCAAATTATTCTTTCTAATTTCCTTTTAAAGAGTAACTGGAGGCTCAAAATGTAACTCCAGCAAGTAACTTGCTTTCAATTCACTGTTATGTGTGATGAAAGGCTTATCTAGGAACACACTTGAGCATGATAACAGCTAAACACATGAAACACTGACACTGCAATAGATAGAAACAACACAGACAACAACTGTTGTGTTCCTGACCATATATAGTCAGTAAGCAATGGCAATAAATACCAAACATTTTAGCTACGCCTGTACAACTGTTGGAAGACTACAAGCACTCTCACCTTGACGTAAATGCAAAAAATCATTATCCTCAGTATGATGCTAGACTTTAATGCAGATTCCTAAGATAATGTTTCCCCACATAAACTACATCACTGTTTTGTCTTAAAATTAGTTAAATATCACAATCAGGACATTCATTATAGTATGATGTTTAGTGTCAGAAGCATTCATGGTTCAACAATGCTTCTTATTCCTTTGTATAGGGGTCAGTTATTTTACCATTAATTGACAGCACATTATGAGTCAGAAGGCAATTTTTTAAAATGCTGTATACATTAAATCTGGCAGTGAGAGGTTTTCAAAATACTTATATTTGGGTTTATTACACTATTTTAGAATAAAAATGTGTACATGAGTGCCCTCTAGCAAAGCTTCACCAAACCAGCTGAACAGGAAAATATGGCAGTTCTTCAGTTACTAGGCTAGTGGATTTCTGGGTGATGCACATAGTCCACCACCCACAGACCTGCCTGGTGACTCGTTTAGTAGAGTTCCAAAAGGTGAATCACAATGTGGATAGAGATAGGCCTTAAAAAGTACTTTCTCCAGAGGAAACTCAAAGAAAGATGCGGAGGACCTCTGTATTAAAACGATCAGCTCCAAGACTCCAGTAAAACTTCACAGATGTCAAAGGACGCAGAAACTAGGTTTATCCAAGGAACGTGCCTGCCATCCATTATAGCAACACTTTCTTTCAGATGTCACTAACAGAACTCAACTGAATTTGAGACCAAAATCTCATCTACTGAAAGTGTTTGTCAAGACTGCACTGTGGTCAGCGAAGCCATACCCATGCCCCCATTTCTGAAGACGTCTGATGAGTCACTAATGCATCTTATGAATTAAATACAACAGATCTTCTATTTGTCTTATCTCCACTGTTCAATTTTATCCTACTAATTTGACCCTTTATTCCCCAAAACATTATTATGAACATGATTATCAGCAGCAGCTTGAAAATAGTCTATCACTCCTCTAAAAGGAACCCCTATTAATGAGCTCCAAAAGTAACAAAGTAGCATTTTCATGCTGGCAATTGATATTCAGAAGAAATAAGCATTTAATTTTCATGTCACAGTCTTCAACTCAAGAAGCTCAGTGAGTGGCACAAGCTAAAATGAGAGAAGAGGTGAAAGAGTATTTATTCTTTCCAGATGTTGGCGTGCAGCTCTGGGACTGATAGTTTTGTTCCCATCTGAGTGAAATCATCTAGAGCACTGTTTCAAAATCCCACTATACAGTAAACACAAGCTGTAGCCACATGCAAAAATTCATAGAATCATAATTTATTTAAGAGCATATTAATAAAAATACCTGCCAGTCACCACAGAAAAATATGCCCACAGAAAATTAAATACTATATGCTATGACATGCATGGCATGCAAGCACAGTTTACCAGAATTTATGACCCACATTCTTTCAAAGAGCTTGAAGTAAATAAATAACATGAGACATTCAACAGCAGCAGAATGTGACTTGAATAATAGGCTATGAAGTTACATATGAAGTGACATACCACAAATTAAAAATAATACATAGCTTCAAAGGACTAAAAAGATCTGCAAAATTAACAAACTGCTATTTACTTTACAATTTTTCACCAACTTCTTAAAATTAACTTGTGCAGTTTGGCAAATCCTTGGAGGAAGATTGGCTGTGAACACTCAATTTGTCATTGCATAACGATAGGTGATAACATGGACTTAACTTTCTTTTAAAATGTATGAGGTGTATATAATCTACTTTATGTATTATTTATTTTTGTAGTTATCTCTGGCCTTGGCTGAGAATCAATAAATAAATTGAAAATGTGAAATATTTTTATATTATCTATGTATAAAAATCAATATAGAACTATATATTTTATTCATCTTGTGTTATTGGCCTGGAATGGATGGGCTAACATTTTAAGAGTACTCCCAAATGAATGATTTTTTTTTTAAAGGCCTCAGTTGATCAGTGTGACAGATAACAATGATATTGCCGGTCATAATGCTTTTAATCACAAAGGGCCTTAAGGTATCTCAGACACCATATGTATATATCACACTCTAAAATGCAGCCATCTCTGGATGCAGAGGAAGCCAATAGCTAGTACTCACTACCCTAAACAACAGTGGAGACTCAGAAACCATCCCAGCTGCACATGGAGGAAGACAAAATGAAAAAAACAATTTAAAAAATCCTAATTAAGTTGCAACTTTAGTAAGAGCAGGGCGATATAAAGACCTGATGTAAACAGCTAACAGGCAGTCCTTCAGGCACAAGTTGTCGCATGGCTTAAGAACATACACCGCACTGCTCAGCAGTGAAAAGGCAACCGAAGCCCGCTTTGCCCCTTGACACAATCAAGCCTGGCTGCTAGCTCATTCGATAACATGGGCTGACAATAACTTTATGGTACAGACCATTGTTCTTTCTTTGTCTGCTCCCACTTGTTTGGGAAGGCTTTCATCAGCCCCTCTTAATCTGATTCCAGGCAACCCTTGGGAACCATTTGTTTACAAAATTCACGGAGCAATAATGAAAGGACTTAATTCTGAAATGACCAGGCACTAAATGCATTACTATTCTGACCCCTTTTTCCTCTGAAACCTTCTCCTGAATCAGTTTTCAAGGTTGATTTCTGCAGGAACACATTTTGAACATCTGTCATGCAGCTTATTACTATTTGAGCCTGGCCTTCATATTCACCCAATAGGCCCTGATTATCCATGGGGAGAGTAAAAATCAACAAAGCAACAACGAGCCTGAAAGAAAGTGGCTAATGCAGTATTCTCAGCCGATCATAAAACCTAGTCCTATTCTGGGAGTCTGGTTGGAAATGGGGAGATAGGTCATGAGGAAATGGAATACGGCAAAACTCACCAATGATGAGCTGCTCTATCATGAGGGGATGACTCTTACAGCAGGTTAAAGAATCCATCTTCCTTCTACCAAAGTCTCAAAACATACCTCCAAACAGGACTATTACACCTTCCCAAATTAAGTCCTTACTACCGCACAAAAGAGGGAAGATTTCTGGTTTTAGATTTTTAACTAAAATGCCTTAATCCCAGATTCAGGTAAACAGTTCTTTTCCAGAAGAGCATAAAAGCATGCATTAACTTAAAACTCATGCTTAACAGCCACTAAAATTAACAAGGGGCATCCTGTCTTCATTGGGGGGGACAGGACCAACAAAACTTCCACTGACATAAGCAGTTTTCCACAACAGGGCCCAGCTTACACACTTTACCTCCTTCTAAGTGGTATCTGAGAACATACAATTAGAGAACTCAAAGTTCAGACATTTGCACATCAAAACGTATTTCTCATGAATATCCTAGCTTCATTTTGATACCAGTGTTACATGGTTAAACTAATTCCTTGTGGTGCCTAAATTATTTGTTATATACTTACTCTCTTTACGGACATCAGCAAGTGCTGCATGAAGTTCCTCTTTAAACACAATTGCTTCCTTGGCAATTTTTTCCCCCTTGTCCAACAGATTCCAAGTGGCTTCTTCCACAGAAGCTAGCAAGACACGAGCTCTTTTGGAACGGCCTTTTTTCTTACTAGAAGGATTCTGTGGACAGTTCACTAGTGTTGTAACCTACATTTACAAGAAACAAAAAAAGACAATAGTGGTGTAAGTTCTATAATAAGTGAATTTATATTGTTCTCAAATTTAAAAAAAAATAAATCAAATTAATATAGTTGAAAACAAGCAATGGGATTCCCCCTGCTTTAGAGAGAGACAGGCAACCTCAGCATACATACTGAGAATGGGCAAAACTATTGAATCAAATTTGACAGATAATTTTACTTAATACGCTTCATCTTTGTAGTATTCTTTCTGTATGATCAAAGCAAAGTCAATAGAAATCTCACTGTCATATTAACCCTGATGCAAACTCCTGACACTGCTTATTTTAAAATTTCCTCATGATAAAACAAAAATTACTAATGCTACCCAAGGAGTCTTCAGCCAAGGCAGGAATTATAATCAGTACTGAATCCTTCCATACTTCCAAGTATGGAAAGCTTAAATCTCCCAAGTTAACTGGTAGGTTTACTGCGGCTTTGTCCAAATTACATTTTTTAACAATGCACTTCAACATCCATAAAGAGCTTATTTTTATATAGCATCCCACTCCACATTCCTCATCATCTGAGCACAGCCTCCACACTCCAACAGAATGTTTCTAACAGACAATGCTCTAAGGCATTGCTTGAGCTGTCACACTAAGGAAAGACTTCTAAAAGATTTTCAAAGAAAAAGGTGTTAAATAGCTATTTTAAAACATACTTTATTTTCATTAAGTTCAATGATGTTTTTTAATCCTCCTTCTATTCTGTTCTTTGTGCCAGAACATGGACAATATAGTATTAAGAACAGATCTAGCCTTAGAGCTTAATGAACACATTTTATATGCATACAATTGCTTCATTTCATTAAATGGCAACCCAATCATCAACAACATTGTTTAAGCAAAGCAAAAGCTGTGTATGAATTTCTCAGTCCAGCAGGCAAACTTAGCTAATGGCTGCAGTACAGCTTGTGGTTTGAGCTGGTCTATGGAAAAGGGCTCCATTCCCAGGAATGTAATGAGAAGCGCACTACCTGTGCCCTAGCTCACCTTTAGCTCCTGTGCATGAATTCATGCACTTCCATGCTTTTCATGAATCGGTACTTCTAAAAGTAACCGACAAACATCCTCTGGGAAGCACTTCTATGAACACATCTTTGAAAGACAAAAGCCCTGACCCATACATCATTCATGTGGAATTTTGGGGGGAAAAGGAAGACCAGCCACTTGACTTCAACTGTTTCGGCATGTCACAAGGGAGACAGCAACATAAATACCTCTGGCTCAGACTGTTAAAGAGGACTTGGGTATTTTTCTGACTGTGGCTCAAAGAAAGTAAATGAAATTATTCATTGCACATAAATCAGCCATGGTAGAGAATGCACTGGAAATAGGAATCTTAACATCTTTTATTTTAACAAACCCTATAACATTATTTCCAGAGCACGTAATGCCGTTTCAATTATCATATTTTTAAGAGCAAGTTAAAGACATTACAGGCTGATACTTCCAACAGGAAAGGCATAAAACATTGTAAAAAATTAGAAGCTGCCCCAAAAACCAATCAAGTAAAAGACATTTTTAAATGTCTTAACTATTTAATCACTTTTATCAGAAAATTATATATTCTATTTCTCAGATTTTTACTGTAGTCTCCTTTTTATGTAAAATACTATTTATGTACTGTTCATTTCATGTGTTTTGGAGGAAGAGGAGGAAAGGAAACAAAACAAATGGAAAAATAATCATTCCTGCAAGTGAAAACTCTTGACTGTAAGACCCTTCATCTTCAGCATTGCTGTCAGGAAATATCAGAGGCACCTTCTGATCTCAAATACAAGTTAAAATTTGATAGGTAGTTCTGAACACAAAAAGTTTATGCAGATCCTACACAGAAATAATTGAACTACACAGTAGCTAATATAGCATGCCCTTTTGATCCATTGTCAACACAGCTTGTACAGCAGAAAACACAGTCAAAATGATATCATTATAAGAAAAAAGAAAACATATCCCCATTAATCCTGCTCGTGCTTGGCTGCCTTTCCAGTTACTAACACCTTCATATTGCCATATACAGCATGTCTCCCAGCACTGAACAGAAATCATTGCCAAGAGGTTATTTTGTATCTCTGGGAGGAGCAACAGCATTGTGCTAGAGGCACAAAGTTTTTTTAAGTGAGATTTTCAAGCCCATATGCCATCACAGCTGCAAAGCCAAATCACATTGCTGTTGCCTGTTATTGCCATTATTTATTAGGCTGAAGGGGTGGGATTTTTTGTCATCATTATCCCAAATACTGAATTCCAAAGGGATTGTGCAGCAGTTCTTCCAATGCTATATTCAGTTCCTGCCAGCCTTTACAGACAATCTTTTAATATTGCAGTAGTTAAGGAAACAATAATCAATACAATGTCTTGGTACCTTGAGTATCAAAAGATTTGGTTCACCTTTGATACTAACACAAAAGTATTTTAAAGCATCAATCATAAAACATTCTTTTTGTTTAAAATTTAGTTCAGTGTAACTGCAATCCCTAGACATTTGAAAAAACAAGACATGAACTCAGCGATCTATTAACAACAGCAGAACACCCTGCTCACTGTTTCAAATCCGAGTCAGATGTTTGAGGATAACAAAGTATTGCCCATACAAATAAATACTGGTTAATCACTTCCAGTGTGCATAAAGTAAACCCACCATACACAGAACTAAAACCAACAGCGTATGTTTTCTGTGTGAGCAAACTTTTGTCAGTGTGGATGACAGGTGAGAAAAAATGCCTTGCAACTTGCCTGTTTTTCATCAGTGATGCAAGGGATTCTAAAATCCATGGATGTTTCTACATACTCTGTAAAACTTACCTATCTCTTGCAGTCATAAACTTTCCTTAGCTGTTAGGTATGCATAAAATATAAAGAGATGGAAGACAAGAGGTTTGGCAAGGAAAAACTCTTACAAATATTTGCTTATGTATACATACACACACACAACACACATATATTAGAGTGTATGCGCTTACACAAATATATACAGAGCGCTTCAGATACAATATCCAAATAAATAGCAAATTTACAGCTTATAAGACTTGCAAAGACTGCAGAGCAAAGGCAGTTATGAAGCATTTCCTGCATGAATTAATGAAGCTATATGAATCTCAAGTCATATCTTTCAAAACTTTTACTTGTACGTAAATTCAAGAGGAAAAAAGTCTTATAATAGTTTGCTACAAAGCAAATTTATACCTAGCCATAACTGTAATCATTACATAGTATAGCAAAAAGATTAAACAGACTTCAGTCTCTGAGAGTGAGATAAAACAAGAGGATATTTTCCATTACATTAATTGTTATATTTTGTAAACCCAGCACAAGCATGACAAATATTAGACATCAGCTATGTGAATGAAAACACTTTATGATCTACTGATTGCTTCACACTAATTGCTCCATGACAGTATGCATGTCTAATAAAAGCCCAGAATTAAGGAAAGATTGTTTGTCTGAGCATGTATCCAATTTACATCAAGGCAGCTGTCAGCTGAATGATGTCAATTTTGACAACTATCATTTTTAATCTGCCAGATGGGTTGATAGAGAACTTTACCTAAAAGCCCTCCTTTCAAAACTAATGTCCTCAAAGCACCTGGAATAAAATCAAATAGAGGCCATGGACAGAGGGAACTCCTTCTGGTGAGAGGGCTATTGGACAGCATTAAAGAAACTTTTTTGCAATACATAGAAAACAGAGCACAGCTAGTAGTACATCCCCATGAGAGAACAGTTTATAAGGTTGGACACAGAATTACAGTAATGCAGTTATGCCACTTCCAGCATACGAGTTTCTATCTCTGCAGAGCCTTGCACAGCACTGTTTGAATTACCACCCTAGGTCAGGCCACTGTTTGGGATGCAGAGAGGGAAATGCAGTGAGACTGCCGCCCCTGCAATCCCCCAAACATTGTAATTTAGGGGCATTATTTTAGTCCAAGGATGGAGAAGTTGCCAAGTTGGAGAGGGTTTTATACAAAACAATGCGTTGTACTGTTTTCACAGTTTCAAAGTGATCACCACTGCCAACTGCGTATTGCAGGGAAGAGAGAGAATCTAGCAAAGTCATTTGCAAAGTTACTTCCACATAGGCTGGTTCTGCCTCCATTTTCTCCCATATTGATGCTGTTAACCTAATGATTGCTCTAACACTTAGCATAACTGGCTAGGCCATACTTCAGAGAATCTCAAACACTTCCACTGCTGCTTTCCTACCAGAGCGTTACAAGACTATTAAATAAATAAATTAGAACATAAATCTCCAAATAAAGTTAACTGTGTTCAAAACAGCAGCTGCTAAGTGAATCGGGCCAGAGCATAATACTATTCATTTTTATCTGTGACTGATCTGAGTCTCTTTCTAATCATAGATCAGTTTTCATTTATTACCTTTCCAGCATCTCAATCATCCTTCATTGAGTATTAGTTTTAATCCCTGCTTTTGCATTTTCAACATTTTTTCTGTCTCCTTCCCACTCAAAATGCAAGCTTCCCTTCCACAGTTCTGTTACGAAACAAAGCATTAAGGTTGAGGTGGGGAAAAGACAGCCAAAATCATATTCTCTTTGAACCAAAGCATTTCCATTTTTAACAGGCTCAAGCTTTGTAAAAATGCTTGAGAAAAGCTTCAAAAAAAAAAATTAGATAGTTTCTTTGTTTTGTTCTGGAACTGTATTTCTTTGTTTTGTCAGGTTTCTTTCATCCTGCAGAACTCAGGCCAAAATTTACATTTCCTCATCTCCTCTAAAAATACCCACAAGTGTTGCAGCTGCCTGAGCAGTATGACCCTACTGGTATACAAGAGAAGGTTTTAAAATGCAGTCTAGACATCTCTTCCTACCACTCTGAAACTAATTTTATAATCCATCCGCATATGATGCTCCACTTTGACAACTTCCCACAAACCGCTGAACTGTTAACTGAGGTTTTATACACCGTCAATCACACCCAGGCAAAAATAAATAAAGGCAGACAAAATGACTGAGAGGCAGCTCAGTTAATAACAGCTGGAAATTAAGTAATGATAAAAAGAAAAGGCTACTTTCTGAAGAAAAGAATCTTCCAGAAAGGACAAATAAATAAGGGAGGTAAAGAAGATCAAGTCAAAAATAAGAGAAGAAATTTCAAAGATGATAATGAAAAATGAATAAAAGAAACTGGATGAGTTAGGGAGAGGCAAAAGTTTCAAATGGGGAAAACACAACTTTATTTGTTAAAGAGAAACTTATTTCAATGAATTAACTGATTTTTTTAAAAGCAACTTTTTCTATAACTGTTATAAAACACGACCAGCACCTCTTGCTTTTCCTAGCTTTTAGAGCACATACAGCACTCCTGGAATAAATAAAGGACTTTTCCAACATGAAAGTCCAAATAAACGTAAGAACCATCACACCAAACGTACTCATCATTTTATTGTCCTCATCTTTCATCTCTGTATTCTTCTTCCCTCCAATCATTATGTGCTGCCTCTTTATTATAATCTGACTGTTCCCTTGCATCTCGTCACCACCCTTTGGCAAGCCCAGGGAAACAGTATGCAAAGGACTGGCTCCCAGGACAAAGAAGGAAAAATGTCATCAGAGGAGTTTGTGTGAAAAGAAGTGCATTCCTGGAAGAACAAAGTTTACCATGTACCTAAGTGGCTGAGTGCAGTCAAATGAAGCCCATGAGTCGTATGAGAAGAAAAAAATATTTTTTCCTTTAATATCTGTCCAAGTACAATAATAATTGTTTCAGTTTTAATTAAAAAGATTTTATCTCTTTTTTAACAACAGAAAAGTTGCAAATTGAAAAAAACAGAACAGAAAACTTAGTAGATACGTCCTTACCTTTTTTTAATAAGCTGTACACCCCCAATTCTTACGTGTAGATAAATAGAGTAACAGCCAGAGTACAGTATTCAATCTGGCTTTGCTCTATTTACCAACATCATCCTCCCAGTATCAGTTTTGTTTGTTGATTGTTAACATAACCTATTTAACAAAAAGTTATTGCCTTGTAAGAGGCATTACTCAAAGAGCTTGGAAAGATCTTAATCCACCAACCACTGAAACTACTTCCTAGCCATTATACCTGACCATCTTCACAACCTGAAAAACAGCAAAGCATTTTTTGTACATTAGCAAGTGAAAGAAAATTCTGAATGAAGTCACACCTTTCTACCATCTACACAAACTGCAGCCAGAGCAGTGACTGCCATGTAAACACACCCTCAGGCACCAGGAAAAGAATACTAAATAAGCAGTGTACAGCTGTGGCAGGTAGCTTGATCTACATCATCTTGGCAAGGCTGAAGGACACCGATAAGCTGGCATCCTTGCGCTATGTGTAATTGACTGATTAAATGCAGGTACCCCAACATCTTTGTTCTATGTACAGTGAAGAGAAAATGCAAAACAGTTTGAGTTTCAAAACAGAAGATGTCCTTTCTGTTCTTTACCCTGTAACATATTGCTACAGAGGTCTTTTAACACTTTCTTAGTTACACACATTATTTGCAAAATAAGGTCAGGTCTTCAAGTAGGTCCTTTCCATTGTATTAAAAAAAGCATTTCTAATCCATGCCAAATATAGAGATAATGAGAGAATCTTCAACACACTAAGCACTGCATATTTAACCAGTGAATACTTGAAATAGAACTGGAATATGCAGTAAAATTGATCCTCTTGGAAAGAAAATTCTATCAACAAACCTGAAAGCATTTTTTTAAATCCCTCAGTCCAAGTTTTCTTTAGCTGGAAGGAGAAAGTACTACAAAGGTTTATACAATATGCAACAATTGCACTGTTCTTAGGTCATCTCTTCTGAAACGCAACAGAATGCAATTCTTGTCAAAATTCACATAAACAAACTCACCTACAGATTTCAAGGCTCTTCTTTCCCACTCTGTCCACTACTTGCAATATGAAACTTTTCACGTGTTAGAAATCCATTTGGAGTGTATTCTACATTTAAACATCCCCTAGATAATAGTCTACAAGAGACTAGCTAGAACGTACAACATTTGTTATGATATACTGTGTGGCATTTGCAAAAATGGAAGCGACTAAATGAATGACCAAACCTGGAAGACGACAGATCCCCCTGGACAGTTTCTGAGCCAGAGTAAACTACAAGTACAGAAAAGCTGTGAGTATGCCTTTCATAATAGCGTCCTTAGCCAAAGTTCTTCAGCGTTATTCCCTTCCCTCTGTGGTTATCCAATTTATTGTCTGCAATACTAAAATACCTGAATTATCAATGGTTCCAATAATTTCTCCACTGTAAATGTCTGGATCTGCAGATCCCGAGGATCAATTTTCAGTTTAATGCTTGGCACTTTTGATGACATTTCACCTAGGTACAAAACAAAAAAAACCTGTAGTAAGCAATTATTAGCCATGACTGCAAGTCTCGCTGCCCTCTGTCAGAGCCCAGAGACTGCCTGTGGGAGTACAGAATTGGTTCCATAACAGGCAGGATTTCAAGAGATAAAATGAATTTTTACGATTCCTCATTTCTAAACTGTTAAAAAAATATGCAGATACGTGCATAAACCGTAAAATAATAGATTTAAAAGTACACAGAATTCCTTGTCTTCTCTTCCAGATATCTAAATTGACCATATCTTAAAAAATACACGACGATAATTGCATTAGAAGACCTTTGAATATAAGTTCTCTAATAGTCAATAAAAAGGAGCTTTAAAGCAAAATTATATATGACATTATTGAATTTATCACAAAACCAAACCATTAGTGCTATGTGCACAGTATCTGTATCTTATTCCATGTGCCAAGCTACAACGGTCATAATAAACACTTTAAGAACAAAAATAGATACAGCAGCCCTTAAAAGTCCTAGCAATTAATAGCAGGAGAAAGCGAAATATTTAGTTATTTTACACCCTGTAATAACAAATATGTTCTAAGTGTCAAGACAGATTAAGTCAAGAAAGCCTATCACTGAAGTCAATAAGACAGAAGTAAAGCTAAGTAAGGTCTTTAAAATGAATAAATCATTCATTAGGAGCTTGATCTAAAGTCCGCTGATGTTAATTTAACGGTTTTCACCGAGTTCACTGGGCCATGGTTCAGGCCTTTAGCCGCAGTGAAATGTGCATGTGCCAACAAAGAATTATAACTGTGCTTTAGTAGGAATGCAACTGATTATCATCCCAAAATAAAAGACATTTTAGATTTTCCAGTAACTTAACTTCCCATAAAACATAGCTCAGCAAAGCCTTTTTAGCCAATAAAGACTTCAAACACACAAATAATGGATATCTGTCCTTTTTAAGCAGGACTTATTACAACCATTGCTGCTGTATAATAAAGTAATAAGGTACTGCAATTGTGCAGGCTAAAGAGATATATTGTCACCTTCCGGTGAACCTAACATTGATTTAATATACCACAGTAGGTTTAGGGTTTCTATAGCAAGTTGCGTAGAAATTGATCTGAATTGTTTATCACAGAATAGTTATCCACATTTCATTTGCAAGCAAAGATAAAATGAATGATAATTAAATAATTAAGGTTAAAGGTAATTTAGGGTTTCGCCATTCTTAGTAAAGGTTATACAAGTGCCAAGTTTATTCTTCTATTACAAGCTATACTAGTTGCAGCGCTCAGTTCCCACAGATTCAGCTGCATACAGTCAGGTGATAGCACATCAAGAACTGATTTTTCAGTTTTAATTCCAAGTCAAAAGATAAAGAGAACAAAAACTTGAGATCACACTGACCAGAACTACACTTTTCCTTCTATGGAAACTAATAATAGAAGGAGAACTCTAGAAACGTCAATGCAAATTATTTGGCCATATTTTACACATTTAACTTTTAGATACTTGTAACAAACCCCAAGGAAATAAAATTTGAGAGTCCCAAAATCGCCAGTGTCAGTGGTTCTCTGTCCAACGAATCAGTAGGTAGGATACTCCCACAGTTTTGAAATACTCCAGTTTAACTTATCCCTCTGTTTGAAGGGAACTGAGCCCCCTCATCATTCACTGCTTCAGAAACAAGCGGTGGCTCCTAGTCAGGGAAAGAACTGCAGCCCTTCTGCTAGCTCAAATGGTTAGGTTGCAGCTATGCAAGTGTACAGACCACACCTCTTATTCACAAAGCCTCACTGCAGCTGTTACAAAGTGCTTTGAGATGGATGACTCAGTATTGTCTGCTGGTTCTGTTCTACTCATTGTAAAACACTTACTTACTGAGCTCAGAACAAAACAGGCTGAAAACACAGCATAGCTCTAGAGGCTGGTGGTTAGGGCATGCTCCCAGAAGGCAAAATATTTTGTTTCCAAACTTTGCTTAACTAATGTTTTCATAATTTCAGACCAAGGAAAAACCACAAGAAGATATCAAAAGTCAACAAACTCAGAATATCTACAAGCACAT